ATAGTGGGCTCTTAGCTGAGAATGGAAATTCCCTGTAACTACCTGGAATACTTCCTCGCAGAATAAGCAGAGTCTCACTTGCCCATCACCAACTATGTGGTTCTTCTCGAGAAAATCTATGAAGAAAAATCGGTAGCTTAAAATGCTGAGCGGTGTTATTTTTTAGAGCTTACATTGTGTATCCCATCGGTCTGTCCAGCGTTTATACTCTTCACAACTCATAGGCCAGTGTGGTTCGCAGTCACACAGATAGCAGAATGCACAACCGCAACTTGAGCATGTGCAGCTAGAGAATTCTAACAAGACTGATGCTAAAAGGCATAGAGTTAAATAAACATGAAAATACCGCGTTCAAACGTTGTAGCGAGATCGGCATGACAACGAGGACACTTTACGAATTTAGAGTTGCCAGGATTGCAAAAAGCATACAGTTTCTAAAAACTAAAGGTTTATGAGAAAAAGCTTGTTATCATTGTTGTCGACTGATATGCTTAAAGTGCGTCCGTTCCTGCAGAAGTAACCCATCGCATCAATTTTTCATAATCTTTTTGTTAGGTGCAAGCCAAACTTATTCCACTCGATCCACTTCATCCAGTTCGCTATTGGTGGAATCAGTGAAATTGACCAATAGCAAATGGATCAATTGGATCAAGTGCACATTCACTAGCTATTGGTCAGTTCAGTGGCTTAAAACATCAGATAAATTGGATCAAGTGTTTGATGCATATTAAACGTAGCGCACATCAGAACCAAAAATGGGACGGGTTCTGGAGCAGCTACAATATGCCACCGTAACCTCTTCGAGGAGAGCATGGGACACGACGGAAATTTACAAGTCCAATATCAAAAACGGAAAATGTTCCCATTTCCCGAATTGAGTTCAAGGCAGAATACAAAGAGTGCTTTACTCAGCGCAAGGCGCGCGAGGTTTCGTTAAAAATGGTCAACACAGGGTATTACTCTTTTTCCTGTTTAATCGCTTACCTTAATCAGGAAAGACATCACAGGTGCAGGTAACACTGCATAAAGTAGGTCAATAGGGGAAGAACCTGGAGGAGCGATAATCTGAAAGAATATAATTTTTATGTGATCATGAAGCCCTGGGCAGTTGAGCTGTACCGGTATGAAGGAGTTATTGAAGCGCAACTGTCGAAGTATAGAG